TCCATGGTGGTACAATGCCTGATAGTCAGTTCATGCAGTGCACTGATGTTTCAAAAGCTAATTAGTGGTGAAGATTTGTTTTTTATTGCCCTGTCTCAGTTTATTCAGCTGAAGAGCTATGGGCCAGGCAAGGTCAGCAAAGGCGATTAGAGAAATGATCGTTCTTTCATACAATAGAAAGTTGAAATAAGTAAAATCATTTGGTAAGAAAGGAAAAGAATTAAAGAGTCTGAGGCATCTGACATTATTAAGGTAACTGTTCTTGGGCCTTTGGCTCATCCAGTGTCCCCACTAATCCATTTGTCATCCAATACTTCTGTCTAAAGACAAAAACCCTCTTAGGCTTTGACAGAGAGCTGAAACTCTTCTGTGCCTGGCTCAGCGACTTCATTTCCAGCCTTGAGCTTCATCTCATCAGTGTTCTCTGAAGCAATATTCTGTCTCCAGTTTTATGTAGCTAGAAGGAAATGTATAGGAAATCATGGGGTAGGGAAGTGGAATGAGGTGCAGAAAAAGAAGGAACCTAAACTCTTTTATCTATAAGTGTTCTCAGTTAGCCTCAGCTTACACATGGAAAGTTTTGTGCTGGTGTGTGGGATGGGGACACCTGCCCTTTTATTCCTTGATGTCCTAAAGAGCTTGGCAGCTTTTAAACAATGGTGCCAAACCCTTTGAACCCAGTTTTCTGTAACTTCATTGTGGAATTTTCGCTTCAGATCACATGAGGTGTGGATTTCACCCTCTCCTCGGCTGCCAGTAATTTATGCAGACATAGCCTTAGCTCATCAACAGCTAGACTTCCTGCAGCACACATCACTGAAGAGCTGGAGCAACATACTTCCTACACAACTACAACTGCATGTAGAAACTGTCCACACACATGTAGGACATGGGAGAGACCTTTCCAACAAGAGAATATACTGCAAAGCCAGGAGAACCTCAAAAAGGAAACTAAACCACAAAAGATATGCTGTTATTTCAAGAAGAATCATATATGCAGTCAAATAAGATAATCTTATAGTGACAATATAATTAGTGGTTTTCTTTCATTTATGGACTGTGTCTAGGACACAGTTCAGGAAGGAATTTCCCCCAGAAATGAGTGACAAAAATGGATCACTGCAGAGAAAGTCGTCCTCAAACAAGCTGAGAATTTTTCCTCCTCTGAGAGGAGCAAAGAGAGGAGTCACAGTAAAGGTATAAAACAAGTCACTTTTGTAGCCCCATGTCTTAAAAGAAAAGGAGGAATAAAATTTAATTGGTCATTCCTGTTCACCTAAGGTGATAAAAAAGGAAGCACCAAGAAAACTGGAAAGTAACAAATCTGGAAATGCAGAAGTGAAATAGTTAGCACTACATGATATTATGATGTACAAATAAAAACCATCATCAGCTTCATGCCTAATGTTTTGTTTTGGTTTTTTTTTTTAGTTATTTCAAAAGGTAGGGAGGAGAAACAAGAACAAAACATAACCCACAATGCTCTGGGACACAACTCAGAGCAAGATATTTCTGATAGGAGTGATACAAAGCAAGGTACCAAAAGAAGTGTTTCCTTGCTGCAAGAATGTATGCTGGCTAAAATAAATTAATAAATAAAGTACTTTGAACTAGATCCCAGCTGTCTGCTTCAAGGTAGGAACGCCCATTCCCTTCTGTGACACTTCCTCCCACACAAGTCTGGCACCTCTGGTGCAGACCAGGAGTTCCCAGAACTATACGATTTCTCCATCTCTACCCCAACCAAGATAAGCTGCAAGTCTTTCAAGTGTCCACATCTTTCCCAAAAAACAGGATGCTGCTCAACAAAGAAAGCAGTGCTGGTCTAGCCTGGAATTGCAGTCTTTCAGATGGGAATAATACGATTACAGTGACTAAGGTAACAACTCAGGTAACAGATACAACTAAAACTAAAATACAGCTTGTATTTCAGAAAACAATTTAATTGAGTTAGTGCAGCATACTAAAGATATGTATCCTAATAAAGAAAGTTAGTATTTTCTCATTAGCATTCATCCAAGATCTAATTATACTCGGGTCTAGAAATTTTAAAAAACAAAGAAAAGAGTAACATCACCATATTGAAACAAGATTGTAATCAAAATTTACTTTCTACTTCATGAGAAATATAGCAAGCTAATTTCTACACAGAATATCCCCTCACGTATCTGTGTTGACTGGCATATTAATACAGATGGCTTGCTCAATACTATTCAAAAACTTTTTTTCTTTTGTTTCTCTGCTGTTACCTTACATTGTGTGGCACACAAGCTTGTCTCAGCCATTCCCATATCCTGCTCCATCTAGTGGATGGAGGGACTGTAATTACACAAAATGTACAATTTAATCTTATCTTAGACTTCTTAACAGCGTGATTACAAGGCCTCCCTGATTACGCTGTTCAGATAAGATTATTAGCAATACCAAAGTTCTGTTTGCTCTAAGATGAAAGAATGTATCTTATTAAAAGATGCTATAATGTTAGGACTAGAACCTGCTCACTGTACCACTAAGTTTAGAATCTCAGGGTTTATCTACAGCAGCCATTACCAAAGAAAATAACAACATTGCTAATTTTATCATTTATGCATTTTCATCTGTACATAACAATTTAACCTCAGGTAAATGAGGGAGGGTTTTATAGCTTAACGAGAGCTAGACTGCACATCCAGAAGACCTGTGCTTTAGTCTCTGCTCAAATCAGTGCACCAGTGCTCTGCATGCAGCTGGTGCAAGCACTGTTGGAAAACAGGCTGGAGAAAGGCCTCACAAAGTCCACACACTCACATAACAGGCTGGGATTTCAGATGTTGCACCATACTGGAAAAAGCAGGAATTTGAAGTCAGCACTTCTTCTCCCAGACACCTTAGCTGTTTTCTCCTCTGCACCAAAGACTTCAGGACTAGCCACCAGGGTGCAGGCAGTTCAGAAAGTCTGCCAAACATGTAGTGTTTAAGGCACAAATTATGTATCCAGTGGGGATATCTAATGCTGGAAGCAAGGTCCAGGATCAGCTATTTCAAGCTCTAGGCAAGGTAGCCTGATCTGCTGTAAGGTAGTTTCTTGCCAGTCTTCAGGAGTTTATGGTCAGCTAGAAGCTGTGTGCAATGGCTGTTAGAACAGGAAGTTTGGGAGAAGGGGAAGGAAAAGAGGGACATCAAGGAAACATTGAAATGAAAGAAGTTGTGCAGGATACCACTGCTTTAACTGCTTACTTCCTACCTACTGCAGTCCACAAAGAAATGGTTACATCTCCCAGTTGAGTTACCCCCACAGAACAGCTACAGTGAATGGGAGGACAAGACTGGGCCACACCAAACATAGGAGATACTGATCTCCCAGGAACAGACAGAGAGAAAATAACGCGGTGGCTGTCTCCAGCAACACAAGCTTATGTTCACTGAAAGCTGAGGAGATCAAAAGGGTAGGCCCTTTCAGAAGGAAAGATACGTGACTTTTCCAAATACAAAATTTCAACGCTAAGAGAGTGGCAGAATGCTACCTGGCTTAAAGGAGTTTGTAAGACCGGGGGGGCCTCAACTATGTAACTGCTCCATCATTAACTGATAAACAAATGCCACTTGATTGTGTTCAAAACCAGTATTTCAAGATGGTTAAAAGGAAAAACTAGTACACAGTAAGTGGAGTCAAGCTAGCACACATCACAAGTCAGTGGCAAACAAGAACCTACGACCTGAACAGCTCCTCCCATCAAGAAAATGTTTTGCTGGAAGAGTGGATGAGTAAGAAGCACACTCCCTGACCTATTTCCTCAGTTTGGCACCTGGCTCTGCCCAAGTCTGACAACATCAGATGCATCTTCCCCACTGTCTTCCAGTTTCTCCAAACTAGAAACACTGAACACAATAAGCCCTGGTTGTCAGAAGCCTCATCTCACCAGTGCCTGCACCGCTCCCAAGCACTGGATACATCTGTGTCCAACTGCTGTAGCCACCCCTGCACTTCTTACATGCAAGGTGGTGGGACCAGACAACCAGGGCCTCATAACTAGCCCAGCTTCTGGGAGTGGGTCTGCCTCTCTGGAATTCCTCTTCAGTTTTCCCTTGGGCAGGCTGGAGACTTGCTTTGATGTGCACCATATGCCTCTCCTAACCCATGTTTTCCTGCCTGTTTCAGCAAGTGCTCTCTCATCACTTCTCCCAGGGGCAGAGGACCTTCAGTTACTACTACCTGGAAGCAATCAGAAGAGGCTATGAAGACCAAGGCCCAAGCCTGGTATAATAAAACTACAAACATCTGGAAACACAGACCTCCATGGTTTATCCCACTGGCCTTGCCACTCAGCTGAAGGTCACCCTGCATCCTCCTCTTCTGACACCTCAAGGTCAGGGAGGAAGCACGGGAGAGTGGTGCAGGACAGCACCAGCACACACTGGGTCCCTGCCAGACTCCTGCCTGTGGCTGCCTACATACGTCCTAATCCATTTTTTGGCATCTGCACAGCCTGCACAGGTAGCACCAACCACAAAGTAGTTTTGACCAAGCTAAAAGGCAGCTTTACCGTGTGGTGACAGAGCACTTAGACATCTACAGAGCCAGTGTCAGCTTCCCACAGGCTGGGACCTCCTCAGACTGAGCTTAAACTGGAGTTGAGTGCTCCAATCCCGTCAGGAATAAAGCCTTTCGGGGAACCCACGTGCCCCATTTCTCTGAAGCGCAGCATGTTGGTTCTCGAGATTACCTAGGCAGGCTGGGGTGTCACCCCTTTCCTGCAGCACTTGCTCCCACCAGCTTCTCTTGAGAAGGGCCGCGATGATCGGAGCGCGCATCCCGCAGGACCGCAGGTTTGCCGTGGGCACCAGGGACTCGCACCCCCCGGCCCCTCCCGCCTTTCCCGCAGCGGCCCCACCACCGCTCCTGCTGCCGCCGCCCGGCCCCGGCCCCGGCCCCGCTCCGGCCCTGCCGCCCCCGCGCCCCCGCGGCCCGCGGGGCCGCCCCCGGCCCGGCCCCGAGCATGCTCAGTGCCGCCCTGACCTACTTTGCCCGGCGGAGCCGGCGGCGGAGCGGCGGGACCGCAGCGCAGCGCACGGCGGCACGGCACGGCACGGCACGGGCACGGCGCGGCACTGCGGCAGCGCCGCGCTCCGCCCGGCCCGGCCCCGGCCGCGGCCCCGGCCCCGGCCCCGACATGGTGCTGCGCGGGGCGCGCTGAGGGGCGCGGCGGCGGCGGGCGCTGCCGGGGGGCGGCGGCAGCAGCACCGGCGACAGCACCAGCAGCAGCAGCAGCAGCAGCAGCAGCACCGTGCGAGCGGGAGCAGCGGGCGAGCAGGTGAGCGGCGGGGCGAGGGCCGCGGTTCCCCGGTGGGCGGGCGGACGGACGGACGGACGGGCAGGCGGCGGTCCCGGGGAGGCGCTGCCGCCTTCGGCACCTGCCGCGGCTGAGCGGACACCGGCGTGCCGGCCCCGCCGAGCTCCCCGGTGAGCCCCGGGCCGGGCGCGCTGCCCTGGCGGCGGCCCCGGGCGGTCGGAAGGTGTCCGTGCCGGGAGCGCTGCAGCCAGGCGAGCCCGGTGGCACCCGCGCAACGGGAGCGGAGCAATTCAAAGAGGTTGTTTCAGATCGGCACCGGGGCTTGCAGGGAAGTGGGTTTCGTCAGGCAAAAAACCTAAGGAGCCCAAAGCTCCAGCTCCTGCGCGCAGGATGCTCGCTGCTGTCCCGCCCTGGGAAGGAGAATGGGAGGTGACACCTCAGCGCGGAGACCCCTTCGATGGAACTGACTTCTAAGAGAGCTTAAGTTGTGCTGCCTTAGATTTAAAATAAAGGCTGCCACGTGATAGTTTGTTTTAATTACTCTTTTACTTCACAGGATAGCCTCATACAATAAAACTCAAATTCTGAAGTGCCCGGAGGGAACTAGAATCTAAAAATTCAGAGCAGTCTTGCAATTGTCTCTCAAATACTGTTTCTTAAAGGGCAAATTCGAGCAGTATCGGACAAGAGACCTTAAAAGAACAGAGAGCGCTACTGAGCAGGCACTTTTCTAGTGCATTTATCTGGAGAGTCTTGTAAGAGACTTCACTTCCTAACAGCCCTCTTTCATTTGTCAAATCGAAGCATCTCAGATGGAGCTCCCCTGATAACCTTGCTCAGGGAAATAGAAGTACCAACTGTGTAAGCAAGGCAAAATCCTAAATGCAACCTCATTTGGTACGTATTTGTCTGCAAGACTATGAGATTAGTTCAAAGGGAAGAACACAAAGGAGTTAAAGGAGGGAAAATGTAGCATTTTAGTTGTTTAGAGACATTACATTGTGGAAGAGTTCCTCTCTTCACTGCTCTAGGATAAAATACGGCAGATCTTTTTTTTCAGTGGAGACGATGTTTTGCATGGCAGAAATCCTTTTTTCTGTCTGGCTTAGTGTGTACAGATAGCAACAGCACCATTGATATACTTGTGGTTGCTGTAGTAGGAATCCTTTTTTATTAGAAAGCCTTCTGATTTAGACTGTAGTGTGTCAACATCAGTTGATGCTGACTGCAGCTTACACAGCTGGAGTGCACATTGTACACCTGTTTTTTTTCTGAAGAATTTGAAGTTTTCAGTGGCCTAGACAAAGAGCACAACATCCAAAACAAACAAAAAAAGGCTTTCTTCCTCCTTTAGTGCAGTATATATATTATCTGTCCAGTGCATATTTCCCATCCTGAAAGTTTAGAGATAAAATCAGCCACTCTTAAAACATTTAACATATGGTGGGAGCATGGTACTGAATTCTGAAGTGATCTATATTGTATAACTCCAGTTGCCTCCCTGCCCTTGTCCCTCCTTGTCCCCCTTGCCTCCCTGCAAATAGACAGGTTCTGCTCTAGTATGGAGGACAAGGATGGAGCTGGCACAGAACCTGGCTAAAGTGCATTCATGGCTTTAACCAGGGGAAGAAATAAACAAACCAACAAACAGAAACATGCAAAGCAACTCCCATACAGCTTAGGAGAGGGTCACATTTGTGACACAAAGATACGGGTTCTGGGGAATGATTTAAATGGAACAAAACCATTCTTCATTTCAGTTATTGTCTAGAAAGTTTGGAATGTTGGGACTGGCATTTCTTTTATGGTTTAAATTTCTTGCCCAGTGTAAGATATCAGTGAGATATGAATGGAGTTTACAACAGGGAGAGTGAGCTTGCCAGGAGCTTAAGTAACCTGTACCAAGCTTTGCTAGCAGGGTCCTCTTTCTCTGTAAGCAAGTTGCACCTTTACTAGAAGTTTCTGCAAGCATAAATGCCTATAATCCTAATTTGATATGTCCTGGATCATGCTAATATGTCACCTTAAGACTGTGATGTAAGACCAAGCTCCTGGGTACTTCCTGGAATTTTTAATTCCTCTGATTCTGAATCCATCCACACAGGCTTGTGTGCTTTGACAAACATCTCTTTGTAGCCTTAATTTTGTTATTTAATTCTGTCAGTTAAACCAGTGGCATTTTCTGTCCACATACACACCCATCTTAAAAACACCATTTCCAAGACATGGAAACACTATTACTTTTCACCAGTTACTGTGATGTCATATTTTCTATCTGCCAAGAAGGCCATGAAGAGCAGACAAAAACTTGTACCTATTTTGTGACAGGCTAGAGGAATTCAAACAGATTTTGGTTTAGCTATCTAAGAAATTTTGGTCGTGGACTCTCTTATTTCAAAGTAATTACCATGAGCTGCATTGGTTTATCAGAAATAACGACTTCTATACAGATGTGTGTGAATAAATACCTTGTTTTGGAAGAAGGCCACCACATGTGGAGGAATTACATTAAGAATAACCTACCTAGCCCAGACTTAACATTTAATTGACGTGATTCTGCCATGCTGAGACTTTTATTCCAAGAAAAGATTTCTGCTGATATTTTGAAGTCACGTGGGGCCAGGGCACGGATGTGGCCCTGCAGCTGCACTGCTGTGTGTGCAGTCCCCACTCGTGTGTGTGTGTGGCTGTGCGGCACACGGTCCTAACAACAATACTGGATGCAGAGCAAGTTATGCAACTAATGTTAGATTTTTCAGTATGATGTAGAAATAACCAGCACACAAGTCGGAAATTACAAATGTTCTTTAGTAAGCTCTTGAGGGCCTCCAACTAAATTATTGCATATTCATGGCCTCATATAGTCATGCTTGGAGAGGGCTGAATTGATCACATTTGTGTACAAGCAAGACTTAAGCTGTGGTGTGATGCAGGGCAAACTTGTTTAAATCCGTCTGCTGTCCCCTTTGTTACTTGTGGAGGAACAAGGAGAAAAGAGGTGCAGACACTTCTGACCTGAAATGATCCTTTTCAATTGCAATCAGTCATGAATAGTTAGATTCCTTTAAATTCCCCCTCTGACAAGGTTAATCCTGTCCTAATCACAGCATCCACGTGTGACCTCTTTGCCCTGTACCTTGGCAACCAATACATGTGAAAGCCAGTTATTAGAAATTGTATCCATCTTACAGTTCTATAGGGGTAGAGGAGAATTAGCCATATTCAAATCCTCAAATCTATTTTCTTCCATTCTTTTGTCTCTTTTATACTCCAACTAAAATGGGAGCCTTTTGTTTAAAAAGCATAATAAAAACTGCATCAGTGCATTGAACATACTCACTTATTTAAAATTTACAGTTTAATTAGTAGATTTTTTAGCCCTGCAAAGTCCTTCATATCTTTGTTTAAGCAAAACTTAATTTTTAATTTTGTGTCTTATTTGAATGTCCTATATCTGGAATTTTTATTCTTTGTCTGGAAAAAGAAAACCACTAGATGTGCTTAAAGGATGGCTAGCTTTGACAAGCACAGCTCAAAAGAGGAAGTGGAAGGAAGTGAACTGGACCACATTCTGCACTGCTATGTTCTTAGCAGTCTCATAAGCCTTGTTGAGAGATTATGAGAATCTGTTGCATTTGATTTGAATATTTAACCTGTTGGCAGAATAATGCTTACAGAGTGCAGGAATAAATAACATATAACAGGTGAGTAAAGAAAATGAAAGATATGTAGAACTTGGTGAGGCCAGGCAGCACGCGGAAGATACATGTGGAAGTGTGCAAGAGATTCTCTGTGCATCTTCATTGTCCTTTCTCAGCAAAGGGGACTTTGAAGCATTGATCCACCTGCATTTACTGCAACTGCAAACAAACAGCTATGCAGAAAGCTTGCAAGGAGTTAAGCAAGGGCTCCTTAAAACCATACAAAAGTTTTTGGAATAAGAGCTTTGGATACAAAACTATATTGAATGGTAATTGTGCAGCCTCTGAATAAACACAAATGCCAAATAAATCCAGATAATCTCTATAAATGATGTATTTATTTCTAAGAATAAAATTCCTTAAAGGGTGTATACTAAAAAAGCATAAGCTTGAAAAGTCTCCACTAACTATAGTGTTGAATTTGCTTTATGATCTGGGTAGCCCACAACTCAGTAGGACATTTCCACCACAGTACCTGCCTTGATTAAAAACAGCAAGCTTCTCCACTAAATATAGAACTTTGCTTTTGCTGCAGTCATTAAAGTACTATGTAGAAAGAACACTGACATTGCTCAGTCCATATTAGAATGCACAATTGAGCTACAACTTTTTAATGAGAAGTTAAGCATTCAAGTTGCCCGACTGCTTTTGTTGCTTCAGTGAATTTCCTACATATACAGCACAGATGCTGGAATTACAGGAGCTGTGACATCAAAAGGGAACTTTTCAGAGGTTTGGCATTCTTGAGGTACTTTTAAATAATCTCTCCAATAATTACCTGCCAACAGTCTTCATTCATTCTTTTTTTAGGTTAATGGATTAGCGTCCCTGGGTGTTCATTGACAGGCGGGAAGTGCACATCAGACTATTCAAACACATGGTGTAAATCAATGTATCCATTAAAATATTTAAAGTGAAGAGGGTCTTAAAGTCTTTAGGATGCCATATGCTTGATAGTTTTGCAATACTGAGACATGAAGTAGGATGAAGAGGAACAACACTGAGGAGAAATTTACAATACAAAAATTCTAAAACATTTACACACTCACAAAGGCAACATGAAAACTCCTGCTGAATAAAATGGCATATGGTTCTTTCCCTGTATGAAAAGTCTGCTTATGTTAATTTTGAATCACACACATAAAACAAGCTTGGTGTTTGCTGCAGTGTATTGTTAACACAGTGGAACCCTGAAACTGTATCTCTGCAGTCATTAATTTTACTTTGTTACCCACTACAGTGTTGTGTGTGTTCAGAACAAAATAATTTTAGAAGATAGAAACTTATAATGACTAAGTTTTGCTCAGGTTCTGCCATCAA